ATGTGAAATATATGGTGGAGTTGAAGTATTTTCAGAGTTAAAATGGAGTCCGTATTTTGGGGGTACTTATTATGTTTAATTGAGTTCAATTTGAATTAATTAAATTTTTATATCAATATATATATAAAATATTTATTTATGTAACCACTAAATTTATTTTAAAACCCATTCGTTATGCTTGGAATTTTTATTATTCGATACGTTTTAAAGCTATAAAATCGTCTACTAAGTGATAATGCTCTTCTGCTTAAATTCTTATCTTCCTTTGATGTTCTTGTTCATTTGTTATAAAATAAACATTTTAAATATATAAATATTTCTATTAAATATACATATTAAATATATAAAAACATACATTTGTTTTAAAAACATTTTTTTGTACTTGAAGTTGTTATTCTTCGAGAAGTTTTTAAGCTTGCTACCAAATCTTCTACTTAATTATAATGCTCTTTTGATAAAAATCGTCTCTTCCTTTGTTGGCGTGACGCACGAAATTAAGGATGATGAACATTAAATATACATATTAAACACACATATTCTCTGTCTAATTTGGAGAGCTCTTCCATCACTAAATGCCCCACTGACACCCATCCATTATTGTTGCTTTCGCTCCCTAGAAGACACATTTTCCGTAGCAGCTGTTGCTGCGTCTGCTGCTTTTCACGTAAATTATAGCAAAAATTTAATTATTGCATTGGCCGTCCTATTTTACTTGGCCTGCAAGGACAAAGGACGAAGGACGAGGGCTGTGGAAAGCCCAGACCCAACTAACATAGTTCCTTAGCCGGAGGCGGCAACAAAAGCGATTACAACAAAAGTTGTATGTCGAAAAGTACGCTACTAAAACAATTAGCAAGTCTCAGAGAGGGGCTATAATTAAAACAACAATGGGGATAAAGGAGTCGGGGGACGGGGAACCTTATATGGGGCTGCCTTTGATTGATGATGCAAAAGCAGCTAAAGCTAAGGCTGGCCCCTTGAAGTATGCAACACATAAGCAACTTGCAAAGGCGTTGAAGGGACCCGCACTTTTTGGGGTAAAAGCAGTAGGGGTGGGAAAAAGGGTGGGTGGTGCAGGTCCTGAGAGCCTTTCTTTTGTTTTTGACCCGCCAGCGACGGCAACCAACTATGCAGTGCCACAAACAACAAGCAAAGGGAAAAGTTCAGGGGGCAAATAGAAGTTGCAATGCTCTAGGTTTTTCATAAAACTAGTAAGGAACCAGATTTTTTGAAATAAAATATTATAATAATCAAAATAAATATTATAAAGAAATGAAGACATTACCCAAATGAAATCATTATTAATCATTTAAAAAATTTCTTATATATCATATTTTCACTGTGATAATTACAAGATTACCTCTAAATTCACACATCAAAGTTACTTTTCCAGGGCTCTAATATACAATTTAGATACATAACTAGGGGATCCCAATAATAATAACATTACCTATTAAAAATATTTTTTTTTAATATTATATTGACATCTTTTCCCCTAATTTGGCCTTACTTAAATCTATCAATATATGGCTTTTAACTCTACTATACCCACTTCAGTTAGTGATGCCCCAGAGGTAGCCAAGCAAATGTGTGTTATTATATACCCGAGAAGCCCCCCTTTTCTACAATAACCCTCTGTCTGCCAAAAGGAAAAGAAAATGTTTAAGGAAATTGCAGCAAATATTTTGCTTGTTAAGTGAAACCCAGTTTGGCGAAACGTTTTCCCCAGCAATTTCTTCAGGCATTTCGACAACGTCTTCGTCTTGGTCTTGGAGTCGAAGTCCTTGGTCCTTGGAGGAGGCTCCGAACTGGATTTTAGTTGCTTACGCCAGTGAACCATCGCCCTTTCCACCAGGCAGCACTATTTGATGCATTTTGCATAAGCTCTGGGCAAATGCCTTTGCTGCTTTTATGCAAATTTCTTGCATTTTCCATGTCGTTACATTCTTCGTCGTGTTTTAGTTTTAGTTCCCCGCCCGTAAATGCATATATGCATATATGGTATGTGTATGTTTATATATGTGAAAGCAACTTTCCTTTCCTTGGCATGCAATTAAAACTAAATTAGTAGGCCTCTGGGCCACATCTGGTCGGTTGCAATCGCTGCTGTTGGCAAATTTACCCTGTTTACTAATTGAATTATTTAGCTGCAAGTCGCCAGAAAGGCTATGTGCATTTTTTGGTTGGGCCAGTGGGAGGAGCATGTTCTCAAACAAACTGGAAAATGAAGCGTAATCAAAACAAAAGCCCTCCACCCAACATCCGACGGTTCGAACCCTTTTTTTTTAGGTGTTGAACAGCACCGCAGGGCACAAAACCGCACAAGCCAACTTTCGTCCTGCTGCGGTCCTTGTGCCTGGTCAGCAAAGATATGCACAAACAGGAGTAGCAGCCAAAAAAAATTATGTCCATGGTTGAGCAACTTTCCGTTGTGAACACGCCCCAAACACCTCCCATCCTTCCTTTTTTTTATATTTTGACAACCCCACATGCGACATTTAACCCTCGAATTGTGCTCAGCGGACACATTGAATGCTTACACTTGGTCACGAGTTGTGTTGCCTTTGCTTTGGGATTTGTTGTAGGAAAAACTTGGGTTTTGCGTGTTTCAGAAATATAAATAAATTTAAAGAGTCCAGAAAAGACAGTATAACTTTAACTATTTAAAAAAAAAATCAATGAAAAGTTACTATCTTGAAATTGAATTCCTTATGGTATCTTAATTTAAGCAAGTAAGTCCGGACGGGTATTTTTACCTTAGATTAGAGTTATAATTATTTTTAATTTGTTCCTCGACTTTAAACATATAGTTAATCATTTCAGTAACTTACATATATTTAAAAAGTCGAAACAGACATGAAAGGTTTTAACGAAAGGCTAATGAAAAAAAATTATAAATAGTTTCGATCATAAAACTAAATTTCTAATTTCTTTTATATTTCTTAACTTTTGGTAACTATCTTTTCCTATACATATAAATCTATAATAGACAAAAACATTTTCTGTTCAAAGTAAAATATTAAAAAAATATATTATAATTAAAGAACTCTTTTATTACGATCTCCTGTAGTTTAAAGGGTATGAAAACTACGCTCCTTGGAGCTAACTTTCTTTCCAAAATGTCTTTTCCCCGTTCATTTAGATTCTTATATTTTCTCTTATTTTGTACCCCCCACTATTTGCATTTTTTCCATGTCCGTTGCATGTTGATTTTTCGACTGCCATAACACCCATTTCCATTTCCATTCCATTCCCACTCCACTTCAGTGTTTTATTTTCATTTTCGTTGTTGAAATAACATTGACATGCCGTCTTGCTGGTTGACCCCTGCTAGTGCCCCCCAATCCACCCACTTTTCGCCACCCATGGGGGGGTGGAAAATTTTCTCCCAGCGGCAGGACATGCAACACGTCTATGCTATCCCCCTCGAATTTTTCTGTGAACTCCGATCCGAAATTCGATTTCCAGCTTGCGACTTGCTTGGTGCAACGTCTGTCGCTTTGTTGTTTTTCGCTTTGGATGACATGCAACTTTTGCCCCCAGCTGTTTGTTGCTGTCGTTGTCGTGTTGCAATCGACAAAAAAAAAACGTGGAAGAGCAACAAATGTTGCCTCGACTGCCTTTTATTAAATAACGTTTCAATATTCCAACGTTTTCTGACATATCAATTTTCACGCGGCGTGGTCTGCATAGATATAAAGTCGTGCACTGAGGGGAAAATTTAAAGAGTTCCAAAACTATAAAGGTTGATTTGGTATAAAATTTTGTGATAATATTATGATCTATAGATTATTTCGTTAAAATACTACGTTAAGAACCTCTGTATTTTAATATAGGCGGTAAGTTCTAAATATATTTAAGTGAGATGATACGTGATGTATATTTTATAAAGGAATACTTCATCTTCAGAATTTTCTGACCCCAATCTAGATGGTAAAAACATAGTTCCTCAAATTCTCAGTGCAGGGCAAATATATTTATAGATTTCAGCTGCGATATGAATAAAGTTTTGCATCTTGTTCCGTTTGCCTTTGCCCCTTATATTTTCTTGTTTGGCGTGTGTTTGTGGGTGACAGCAAATTGTTTAGATATGGCATGAAAATTGAAATTTATGTCTTTGCCATTGACAGATTGCTTGCAGCAAATACTCGAGAGTTGGTCTGCGGTTAGCAAATAAAGATTGTGCGATAGCGCAAGTGTTCCTGAATGGTTTGATGGGGTGTTAGGCATTGAAAGCAAGTGGAAAATGGATTTTTGGGAAAATGTGGGAGGGTTGAAACTATCCGGGAAAGCTTCGATCAATTTGTACAATTGAGATTGCGAAATGGCGTGGCAATGGCTTTCCATTTGTAGATTAACCGAGATTTCAAAATAAAATATCATAGTTTTTCTTGGCCAAAGTCAATGCTCTTTTAGCTTTATAATTTCTTTGTTTATAATCTCTCTCTTTTTCTGGCTTTAAAATTTTCAAATAAAGTTATTCGTAGGAAGGCAAGGGAATAACAAAAGACTATGCTAATCCCTGGCTTATCTAACCTATGAACCTAACCCTTTTTTTTCCTACCTTTTCCACCCAGTTAATTTCCCAACGTTTGCATTATGCAAAACAAAACAAATAGGGTTAAAATATACAGAGAAAAAAAACTACTTAGCTGCTAAGCTGCCGGGGTCCTTTGCCGCATATGCAAATCTAAACAAATTAATTCCAAACTGAATCCTTTGAGCGGCCAGACCTCCTCCTCAACCAATTTTAGCCCCCATTTGCTGCAGTTTCAGCTGCAACTTCATTTGCAACGTCAACGGCAATGCGCATTAACATTGTTTTCATTTGCCAACGAGCGCTTTTCTTTTCTTTTTTATAATTTTTTTCGTTTTTCCTTCGCATTTGAACAAACCGCTGACGATGATGACGCAGCGGAAAACGGAAGGCCCGTAACCCCAGCACCCATTTTTATATTCCACATTTCTTTCATATCAACCTATCTTTTTTTCCTTTGCAGGATCCCATCCCCCGCGAATAGTGGAGCATCCCATAGATACGACAGTTCCGCGACACGAGCCAGCCACGCTTAATTGCAAAGCCGAAGGCAGCCCCACACCCACCATTCAGTGGTATAAGGACGGGGTCCCCCTGAAGATCCTGCCGGGCTCCCATCGTATCACCCTGCCAGCCGGCGGATTGTTCTTCCTCAAGGTAAGCGGGCGAAGATTGCGCGGCAGTGGAAAATTGAAAAGGTTAAGTGGAGTCATGGGGTAAATGGAAATTGGAATACCCTGGGTATACAAAAAACAAAAAGTTTTGATAATATACGTATATACGATTTAATAATACGATTTAATTTTTAACTGATCAAACAACAAATTAATCTTATTTTAACTTATCTTATCATATGTATGTGTGTGATTATTCTGGGTTGGTAATTTATTTAAAATTATATAATATACTTAATTATATATTATATTTTTAGTCAACCAAAGCGACATAATCATTCTTATATTTCCTTGATTTAAACGAGATTTTCCTCACAATAGGCAACTTCCGTTTAAAGCAATATATCCCTTTGCCTAGCCAAATGGCCTGCGGTGTATTTACATTATTTTCCCCAACTTGCATTTTCTTCAACAGTTCGGTCCTCTTGTTTTATTTGCATGCATAATTATTATTTCAGCTCCATGCCTCCATTCATAATGAAACAGACAATGGAGCCGAGTAAAAGGAGATTCTGGGAGTTGCTTAAAAAATATTCATTTTGCCAGGCCATCTGTTGAGTGATGAACAAACTAATTGCTTTTATTTTTAACTCTCCTTCCTTGCCCCCGGTCAGCTTTTTTCCCTTTTCTGTTCGTATCATTTGGCGGCGAGCTGCAAAAATATTTTTGCAGAAAAATTGTTCGGTCTTCGCTGGCGGTGGGCAACAACTTCATTAACGCAAGGTAAACAAACATTAAGCTGGAGGGAAATGCGGAAAATGTGGGAAAAACGTTGGAGAAAGGCAGCGGCGTAAAGAGAAAGCGGCAGGCAGACAAATAAAGACGTAACGGAAGCCGGCAAAAGTCAGCGGCAGCCTGATGAGCTCTGATTGGGAGAAACAGAGATAGCTGGGTACTGGGAAAAATTGCTAGTTATTACATATATCTTTCTATTATTTTAAATTAATGCCTATTAGATTTAATACTTTATATATTATTGTTAAATATCTAAATGAAATGCGAAAAAATTAGTAATTTTTAAGGATCAATAGAGGATCTATAATACTATATATTATAAGTACGAGTACTAAATTTATTCATAAAAAATGGATTTATCGAGGTAAACATTCGGAGAACTTTAAACGTTAATAAAAACATTTTTAATATTAAAAATTCAAAAAGATAAATATTTTATTTGGTTAAAGAAATATTAAAAATGTTTAAAAAGTGATGCTTTGGAAATATTTAAACATAAAGTCAGGTAATTTTGTTTTCTTCCTCTAAATTTTTACTTAAAAAGAAGTTATACTTTTCTCTCAGTGTAGGAAGTATGAGTGACTACTACGAGTGACTCCCATGGACTCTGTGCTGAGCTGAGCAGAGCACTCAGCAAATTTACGACGCAAAAAGCCAACGGGAGCCGCGTTGATTATGCTGATGATGCAGTTGGAATCGCAGTCTCAATTGCGTGGGATGGGGATTTGGGTTCAGAACTCAGAACTCAGAATTCAGGATCCTGGGGACAGGGAATACGGGGGGGCACTCTGAGCTTGCCACTTTTCACACTCGATCTGCCTGGGTGTCTGGGCGCTTATGGCACTGTATTTGTACTTGCTGCATGCCGCATGCCACTGTATTTGTTTATCACTTAAGTGCAAAAAGGGATTTGAGCATTTTCCTTCTGCCATTGCCACTGGCATTTCCAGACTCCAGCTTCCGCTGATGCCTGCGAAATGTCTCTATGCCATCTTTTTTGCGACGCTCTCCTAACGACTTTTAAATGAATTAATTCCACGGGTGTCCTGGCACCACATCCTGCCGTCTAATGTGTCCTTTGCCTTTATAGCGTTAGTGGTGGCGGAAAAACTGTCTGTCATTTCTTTGGATACTATTTAATGGAACTCCTGTTAAAGTAAAAAGTGTGTAAAACAAAATTGCATTTATTTGAAAATTGTACATCTTAATAAGTGAATAAGTGAAAATCTTATTCATTTTATATATTATAGGTTAATTGTAGTATATAGATTTTCTTTCGCAAATATTTCGCCTACTTCTTCGTAGAATTTAATAACTTTATGTCAGGTCCCTGACCTATCTTTCTTTTCTTTTATTTACTACTGTTCCCGCATGTAAAACTCTCCGAAAATGTTCCACAGACCCAACGCACAAATATACTTCACATCATTTCATTGCTCCCCAGAGGCATAATTTAAATTCTAATTCCGGCTGCTTTTCCCACTCCTCCAAGGAGGACAATTCATCTTACTTATAAGTGCCAGACCACTTCGAGGGCAACTTCAACCAGACATTATTGCTATAACGACGAGAGCCCAGCCGAAAACTAGATGGCCAGAAAGTATGCAACACTATCAAATGTGGCGCCCAAACACAGAGAGAGATGAAAACAAAATCCCTCTTTAATTTAGGGGGCGCAAAGAAAGTTTTCCTGTTCGTTTTTTTTTTCGGGGGTCTTTAAGTGCTGAAGGGAAGCCGAAATGGAGTAGAGAAAAATGTACAAGCGAATAGGGAATATGCAATAAAATACAAAAGCATGTACAATGTGTATATTTTTGTGGGAGTAGGAGTTTTGGGCCAAAAAAAAAAGGAGCGTAGTGAGAAGTGACATGGAGCAGCGAGCGATGGAAAGACAGACAATAATTTACGTAACTGCACGACAGGAAAATGGGGGAAAAAACTGGATCGAAGGAGTCTTTCGTAGGAAAACGCACACATTCGCACTCGAAACAAATGTCTGCGTGTGTGCCCAAGTGTTTATGTAGTTGTGAGAAGCACTTTCCGCACATCAGCTGGTGGGAAAGTCCTTAAAGCTGACATTGGTGTCGAATACTTAAAGGAGTTGCTGTTCTGATCACGAAAATAGCCATAGATTATAAAATGGGAAATATTTATATTTAGTTATAAGAAATACTATAAAACTATTCAATAAAATATATTTCAGTTAGAAGTCTTCAAAAATCTTTATTTGACAAAATGTATTTTACTTTTAAGAGCTTAAGTACTTTAGTACCCTTCTTTTTACTGATATGGTCCATAAAGACTTCCAGCACTTTTAGGGTTATTCATCTCCAGTGTCGTTATATGCAGAGACATCCTTCTTTTCCACGTCCTTGACTAAAGTTACCCAAGCTCTATATTTGCTCTGTCTGACTCTCAAGTGTCTGCAAGCGTATATATGTGCATCTATCTCCTTACGTGCCACCCTATTTCCACACCTTCTGGTCCACCCCTAACGTTTATTTAAATGTCTGCCACATTTGGCCATAGTTTCGACCCCCCAAGAAATGCTTATCCTCCGGCAGTGGGAACTTTAAAAAGGCAATCAACTGGCGGAGGGCGGTGAAATAAATCAAAGCGTGACTTTGGATCCTGGCTGATTGCATTTTCGAGGTGCTCAGACCGAGAACATCTTAATTAAAAAGCAGTCGAGGCTCAGAAGTTAATGCCCATTTTCCCCTTCGCGCTTTTCGGCGAAAATAACTTTATGCACTTCACTGTACAGTGAGCACATTTTAATGAGTTTACAAACGCTCGACACATTCGCGATACCATAAAAAATCCTTCTCTCTCTATATATGCACATAAATAAATAAATACAGGGCTTAAGCCGAGTTGAGTGGAGACTTGGGAGTGAGTGGTGTTGGGGCCAACACTGCGTATGAGTTATGTTTTTATGAACGGGGCGACGATTTTCCCATCATGTCCTTTTTTTTTTGCAGCTGCCTCAGGGCTGTTTATTAACCGGAGGTGTGAGTGAAAAATGCTTTTGAGCCGCGTTTAATGAATGAGCGGAAGGAAAATGAGGTGCAGGGGAAAACAGGGCTTAAGAAAGCCCCCTGGATGATTGAATTAGTAAAGGGAGGAAAGCAGAGGTTAAAACGAGAGGAAGGAAGGCGAATTTTTAATGAGGAGATTACCAGGGAAGTGGGGTTAAGGCCTGAATGATGGTAGACTTGTGAAAAGAATTAAACATGGAGTACACTTTCTTTGATTAATATTTTTAATGGAGTTTTGGTTCTTTGTCAAAGCTCGAAATTTGAAAAACTTAACTCTTAGGAACCAACTCGTTTTGTTTTTTCTTCCAATTTGATATAACGATTAATAGCAATATGTATTTAATTAAAATAATATATATATTATTTTTTTTTTTAATCACGTGTATATTATAAATAAATCGAACGCTATTTGTTAGCTAAACTCGATGTAACAGTTGGCTAAAATCTTTTCTAAAATGCAATGACTTTATAAATTTATCGAACGGGTCACACACTTCATTGCAACTTAAAGCCTAAAATTATCTAATTTTGAAATACCTTAGCTTGGATTTATTTATTTTATTGGATTTTTTATTTTTAAAATAAAAAACTTAAAAAAAAATAAAGCCATTTTTAAATCCTATTGCTTTTCCACCTGTTTCACTTTCTAAAACGAAAGTGAAAGCACTTTAACCGAATCTCTACCCATTCAACCATCAAGCAGATTTGCCTAATTCCATTTCGTTTCAGACTCGTTTTCAGGCCTTTAAAATTTAAACCAAATTATAAAACACTCAAGAGTTAGAGGGGTTATCCCCCTTCATAAAAAACCGAGTATCAGAGCGCGCGAGGGAGGCAGCGACAGTTAGGGCATCTCCCTCTGGCAAACGCAGCAGACAATTACGAAATGTTACAACATGAAAACGGGAATGGCTCCCAAATGAAATGTTTGAAAATTTATGGGTATTTTAAATTAAAACGGAAGCGTGTTTTCAACGCGCTCCACTCGCAGACTCCCTTACAAATACATAGACATTGCGGCAGTCACACAGATACAGCCAATATATTTTATAGCCTCCCCCTTGTCAACCAAACCCCTCTGAAAACCCCCTCGAAAAAGATTCCCCACCATAAAAGTTGCACGTAGCACACGGCAAATATTTTTCCCCAGCTGCTTTTCCTGCTGCTGTTTTTATTTTTTTGCTCTTTGGTGTCAAATCAGTTTCAATGTTTGCACGCACAACAACAACAGCAAAAACAACAGGAGAAGAAATAATAACAACAATAAATATAAGCAATTCGCTGCGAATCGCCTGGCTCAAGTCATTAAAGATATAAATAAATTTATGTGACTTTTGGCAATGTTTTCTTCGTTGTCCTGTTGTATTTTCATTCCTGGCTTACAAAGGCATTTACCCGCCAAATCCAAATTAAATTTCCAGCAGGAATAGCAGGGATTTGAAAAAAGTAAGGCAGGACAGTGCGTTTCAAAAGAGTAAGGAAGTAAATGAAATTAAAACAAAATATCCTGCTACATAAGTTGACAAGGCTTTTCGAATTAGTTTAAAGGTTTTTAAAATAGTTCTTGCATACTTTTAGGCATCTTCAAAAAAATGTTATTTAATAAAATATAAATCAAATGCTGTTTTTAATAAATATCATAATGTATTTCATATCCAAATTGTCATATGCATTTTTGTACCACCTTTACTTTCTACCATAAAAATTGTCAAGGGTTTAAAAATAAATTTAAAGGTGTTTAAAAAAGTTGTTGCATACTTTTAGACACCTTTATAAACATTATTATTTATTAAATTATAAGTTAACCAAATGTTCTTTTTAATAAATATCATAATGCATTTCATATCTAAGTTCTGACAAAAATATAAATTTTTGTACAACCTTAACTTTCTGAAACCCACCTTAAATATTTCTTATTCGGATTCATTGTCTGCTCTACGGTTGCCATTGCAACGAATTTTGTTTTAATTTTATTCGAGATCTCTGCCCCCAACTTTCTGGAAAGGATAGTGAGCCCTGCTATTGGGATAAAGCCTTAGTTGCTCTGCTCGCCCCCTTGTAATTCATTTCAATTTTTAATAGGAATCCGCCCTGTGCCTAGCTAATGAGCTTAGCTCCGGCTTACCTTTGCCAGGGACCACGTTGCGTATGCGGAATATTCAGCTCGCCAGTTGATGATAGAGCAAAACGGATGAAAATGGGTCAGTGGTAATGGCTAGATTGAGTTGGTTAAGTTTCTCTCGTTGGTTTATCAAAGTTGACAAAGCTGAGTAAAAGTAAAAGTTCAGGCGGAAAGTAAGGTTTAACTTTAATCTGACCTGATTTCAAAGCCAAAAGATAAGAAAAAAAAATGGTTGCCTAGTTTGCAAATGAGTGCTGGTTTCTGTGGTTAAGCTGTTTGAAGAGGAGAAGAGAAATGCCTTGAAGGAGTTTTATATTTTAATTTACAAATTCTGCTCAAAGGCTTACTAGCTTTAAAATTACCTTTCCCTTAGCAAGACTTTCAAGACTTTAATATAATTTTTGCTGATTAATGGAAGACACAAAGGATATCATCTTAAATGTATCTATTCGTGTATCGTTGCAATACATGTTACTATTTCTTTGTGCCACATAATCGCGAAGCCTTTGAGCTGTTCCATCTGAGGTTTTTGTTTTTCCCTTCTCAGACTTCGCTGTTCTGCTCGCTTTTCCCCAGTAACCCGCACATATATGAAGTACGACAATCGAGGAGCCCGAGGCGCTTCAACTTATTTGTTTTATAAAGCGCACCCGCGGCTGAGGATTCAGGACGAAGGACTAGGGACATGACATGTGTGTATACAGCTGGCGAAGGAAGATTAAATGAAAGAATAATACAGCTGAAGAACCCTTTTGTCATCTTCACTTAGCGCAACACTTAATTTCACTTGGATGAGGCACAAGTTGTGTAAATTGTGCGAACTTTGTTGCTTCTTTCTCATTTTCTCCTGCTGCAAGGAGCAGATAAATATGGCACACACACAGAGGACTCAGGATACAGGATACAAACACACTTAGTTTGACATTTAATTTTAAGCGCATGTTGGGGAATTCTTTTGTGCTCCGAAAAACAAATAAACAAACAGCGTAGACAACAAACACAAAAGGGGACGGGCTCCAAATGAAGGGATGTTGTAACTATAAAGTTGCTCGAGAGACATTTTATGATTTGAGCACTTGAAGGCAGCAGACGGGCAACAGACAACAGATTGCCGTCTGTTTTATGGCCTCCAAGAGCCAAAAGGGGTTCAAGGATTCAAGGATAAGGGGATGGGAAGCTGCTTCTTTATGGAAGCGAAAAAGCGGGTCCTGCAGAGCCAGCAAATCAACGTCTTAGGAAGATCTGTCTTCTGAGTTTTCGAGCTCTTTCACAGTTGCCATTTGAGAAATTACAAATAGGGATGGCATCACCAAGAAAAGCGAGCTGAAAATACCCTTTAAGGCTAAAGGAAAAATGGTTGAATAAAATTAATTAACATAAAAATGAATCTCAAATAAAAAACTATCTCTCTTAAGTATCAGGACTTTAATAAAAAATAAATAAAAAATTACGCTGTTGTATTTTTAAAGCTTGATTAAAAAATATTATGTAAAACATAAGTGGCCCAAATTAAAGTTTCCATCTTCTTTAAAAATGAATAGATATATTATCTTGTTCCTTAAAACACAGCTGTATATATGTTCGGATATAAAAAAGCTTAAAATATTATAATACTCCTGCTTGAATGACTTAATCAGGCAAAGCATACGTATTACAAAATCAATGTACCCTACCCCCTTTTAAATCATTTCCATTTACTAATAAAACTTGCTCATTTCAATTAAAATTACTCACAGTTCGCCCCTGTTTCTCGCTCCTTTCTCAAGACCCCCACCGAACAATTTTCCCCATCTTGTCTTCGGTACTTAACTCATTCTCATGCCAACGTCTTTTTTTCCTTCCACATCTTTTTGCAGGTTGTCAATTCACGTCGCGAAACAGATGCCGGCATCTATTGGTGTGAGGCTAAGAACGAACTGGGCGTGGCAAGGAGTCGAAATGCCACGTTGCAAGTGGCGGGTAAGTCAACTCAAATCCACAGTCCACCAATGTCCTTACACTCACCAAAAACAGACGCTACTTGACTGATACAAATGAACATAAATTTAATGAATTATAATGTAGGATGAAAGTTTATTACTTTGAAGGAGAAAGATGGGAAGAACTGTATACTATACAAATGGTGTACCATACCATATATATGTTGTACCATACCATACATATGGTGTACCATACCATACATATGGTGTACCACACCATACATGTGGTGTACCACACCATACATGTGGTGTACCATACATATCGTTACCCTTCAAAAATACAACATTTTAGAAATGGCTTTATTGTTTTTCAACAACGATTATTCTTACATTGGTTTTCTCAATTATCTCAATATATATATAATTATTTTTATATTTATTTAAGGCTGATACACAATTATTTCTTAAACGTTTAAAACATACTTCATTTTTTTCTGTGTCCCTCAGCCCCTTCCTTTGAATCGTGTGGTGTGCGTTTTTAATATTCTAAATTGATGTTGATTTTTGCTGCTGCTGCTGATGTTCTTGATGTTGTTGTTGGCTGTGGCTTTGGGGGTGGGGAAAATATGGGGCGTACTAGCTTTGCCCTTTTTCCAGCCAGCCGCCCACTTAACTAACTAGCTGTGGAGCTGCTGCGTTTACAAGTTTTCCGCTCGAACGAACCCACTTGTCTTGCCAGAGGTCTCTTGCCTTCTCTTTCCCGCCCCATATTGCCATCTCTTTCTCCCGGCACGCTCTATTGCCGCCTCCATTAACCCGTTTTCATTTCAGCTTTTCCTTTTTTTTTCCTTCTATTTTGGTTATTTTTTGCTAGCTATTTTTTGGTTTTTGAAGCCCTTTTAGCCCTGTCTGATGGCCTAAATGGGTGTTAAGGGGAGGCAGAATTTTTGTGTGTGCTGGATTTATTAGACCATATGGCCAGAAAAAAACAGTGGTTAGCAATTTCCGAGTTGGGACAGGTCTCAACTGAATTTTGAAGGCCTATGTTATGGATAAGTGGCTGGTCAAACAGAGGTTAGATTTAATAAAAAGGGATTTTAGTTTGTTGGCTTAAAATAAAATGGGTGTAAAATTATTATAAATTTATTAGTCATAACATTGGTAATAAAATTTGATAGGGAAGAAATGAGAAATAAATCAAGTATACGACATGTGGCATGATTAACATTCTGTGACCCTAATGTTATTAAAAATTTCTTATAAGGACTTAAAGTCTATCGGGTTTTAGAAGACCTTTTTTTTGTTTTTCTTTTTTAATATTTCTAAAAAGCATCCTACCCCGAATATTTACCAGATACGCCTCCTCAACAGTTGCTATTAAAAGTGTACCACAAGAAGATGGAGGGAAAGTGGGTCCTACATCCCGATACCACCCATTTCTGGCCCACACCATTGCGGCAGAGACCGCCACTTTGTCTTTTGTTGGCTAATATTTCTTTTATTTGCCTCTGCCTTTTCATTCCAGTGTGTCTGTCTGTTTGTCCGCCCGGCTGTCATGTCCTGAATCTCCTCCCACATGAAAATCGATATTGCTCAGTGTGGAGTTTATTTTGCCTTCGTGTTGGATTTGTGCTTTCTTTTTTTCCCTTACCCCTAGTATATTTCCTCCATTTCGAGTCTTGTTTAGCCTCGGCCCGAGTTGGGTTTTGCTTTTTGCGGTATATCCTTGGGGAATATTTTTCAATATTTGCATGTAAATCACGAAAAGCACGTCAAATTTGTTTGCTTGGTTAAAACGTCGTTATTGCGGCTTGCGGTGTGTGGGTAAAAACGGGGTGGGGAAACTTGGCAAAAGGCGTTCACATTGATTGGGTTAGGCAATAAAGGAGGAAAAAGCCAAAGGAGCTGGAAAAGGATAAGGAACAGGACCTCCATTCGTAGGCGGACTCACGTGCTTTTCCCCGCATTTTTTTTTTACTGTGGCCGGGAGTTTGTCAATAGTAAACATAAGTTGCACATTGTGGGCATATAAGTATATACATTTGATGTTGTCAGCGCAATTTCGCTTTGAGCGCTGTCAACACACACAGGAAGTGAAGCCTTTGACCTGATATTAAAAGCAAGTCCTTGGGAGGATGAGGTGGGTGGGGTTAGGAGCCACACATGCTAAACACCAGGAATTAGAAAATTGTAGGGATATTATTTCCGCCATTTTCGCAGTCATATCTATAATTTGGTAAATACTTTACTTAGTCGGCTTATAGCTATTAAAGGCTGACAAAGCGAGAAATGATTGAAGGCCTTCAATATTTTCGTTAGGCATGTTATTAAAGCGGCTTTGAACTTTGGTAAAGACCATTAAAGCAGAAATTTTTAAATGTTCTCAATATCAAGAACATTTTTTAAAGTTTATATAATGGGAAAATAAGTAAAGTAGAAGTTATTGAAAAATGATTGAAGACCTTCGAAATTTTTGTAGGGCATGTTATTAAAGCGGCATTGAACTTTGGTAAAGCCCATTGAAGCAGAAATTAAAGTGGGTATTAAATTATATTTAAATGTTCTCAATATCAAGATCATTTTTTAAAATTTATATAATGGGATAAATAAGTAAAGTACAAGTTATTGAAAAATGGGGCTCGACATCATGGTGTGTTATGTTATCAAAGCGGCGTTGATATTAATAATTTATTTATCAGAGGTTAAAAGGCTGATATTGGGAATTAATTTATTAATAAGTCATTTTAAAATATTTTTATGATTTCAATAAAATTGTTTTAATGTTTTTAACAAGAATTTACTTCGAAATTGTTCAATCAAATTAAAGTCCCACAAATACCTTAAGTCCCACAATTAAATTCAGCGATTGCCAATTACGCAATAAATAGTAACCACCGCATAACTTCTTCTTAGTGGTTCTCAATTAGGCCCGAACAGTCTGTTCATTAGCTTAAATTGATCACGTCGCCGAGTTGAAGTAGTTGCTATTTCTGGCATCCTATCATAAATCTGCCCCTAAACACAAACACACATAATTCACGGAGCAGGATAAATATAGATAAACGGTCATTTATTAACTCATTATCAGCAGCTGTCCGAGTTTGGCCGCTGGAAGCGATTTGCACCTTTGGAGCGGAGACTTTTCCGCTCTGGTGAGCCCGTAACCCGTGACCTGTGACCTGTGACCCGTGACCCTTAGGAGAAAAATGGGAATACACCGCAGAACCGACAAGAACGAGGCCTACACAACTTTTGCCCAGTGGCACTGAACCTGACACTGATTATGACTTTGATTAATTTATTGATGGTTGGCGTGTTTCCCGCTGTGTGGGCTTTTTCCTTTTTCCTTTCTTTTTTTTTTTGCTATATTGAGGTTCCGAGTTCGGCACAGGGTTCTATTAAAAGTTTGCCACGACTTTAACGGGGGCCTTCGTGGCTGGCTTGATGCTCGCTTTCCCTCTTTGATTCGCCCTGATTTATTACGCTTCAACTTTAAATTTAATAAAAGTCATGGTTTTAGCAGATTTTTGCATAACCAAGACAGCAAAACTAAACCAAAGCAAAAACGAAATCTCAACCAAAAAAAAAAATAGGAGGAGCAGCCCCAAAAAAATGTGTAAAAGAATTCGCTTATTCACTTTGCAGATTAAAAAAAATATATAAAGGAAAACCGAAATTTAATTTACGTAAAAGCTGCCTTCGCTATGGATTTATTCGTTGAATATCCAGGCTCACATATATATATATAGTATACTATATTTTTTCACTGCACAAAAGGTTTAAGGTTTAAGGTTTGGAAATGCGTTCCGGGAAAAAATGCAGTCGCTATGATTGTGACAGAAAATGGTCCACAGTAATGGCTTACAAAATCTAAAAGAGATTTTGTAAAGAGAGAATAAAATTATTATAAAAGTACATTGTTTAAGAACTTATTGCTTTGGACAGTCTTTGATAATCCTTAATGCGAAAATTATTTAAGATACATTTTTTGATTCGTTTTCTATTTTTGTATGAATTGAATAACAATTCTTAAATAAACAAAACCCAAAAAAATATACAATGTGGTAACTAGGTCATTAAACTAATTGATGTATAAGTTTTCCTACTTTTTATAGAGTTTTTTTAAACACCATAAATCAAAACAAATTTAAACAATATTTTTCACTCCATTATAACACCTAATTAAATTATCCTAAAAGCTGCGTAGAAATCGATGGCCGTGATGGAATTTTAACAAATTAGGGACCCATCTTTCTCCACTTTCTCTCATCCTCCTTTTTGCGGCGTATAAAAATCACATTTATGCCATTTACCAACAATTTATCTCTGCTGTCAGGCCGCAAACACGGGCTCACACGTTGAGGAATAGGGATGGCCAGGGGTCAGGGGTCAGGGAGCAGGAGGGACGAAAGACACCGACGTGGGGCATTTATCATGCAAAAACCCCCAGATAATTTATAACCACCGGCAAATGGACAGGGGCCAAGCCACACCACACACACACCGCACACACACACACTCTCCTTAATAATCATTTGCTCATCTTTCAACCGACTTTCCCCACTTTCTCCCATCCAGTTCTGCGCGACGAGTTCCGCCTGGAGCCGCAGAACACACGGATCGCCCAGGGCGATACCGCCCTGCTCGAGTGCGCCGCCCCTCGGGGAATCCCCGAGCCATCGGTCACCTGGAAGAAGGGCGGCCAGAAATTGGATTTGGAGGGCTCGAAGCGAATACGCATCGTTGACGGCGGCAATTTGGCCATCCAGGATGCCCGGCAGACTGACGAGGGTCAATACCAGTGCATAGCCAAGAATCCTGTCGGGGTGCGCGAGTCCTCGCTGGCCACGCTCAAAGTGCACGGTGAGAGCTTAACCCACTCAAGCAGAAATAGAAAATATACATTTTATTTCAAATTAAATTAAATTATTTTAATGTTGTTAAATAAATATTTTAGGAAATATTTAATGATGGCTGGGTTTTAACGAATGTCTTCTAATATTTTATAATTTTTTATTTTCTTATAAGTCTTCAATAATATTTATGGATTATTACGAAAAGAAAATGAGTTAGGTTAGGTTTTAATTTATGTTTATATTTCTTGTAAGACTTATAAAAGCTTATAAGACCCTTATGCCCTCATGGGTTAGTGGTTAGAAAAAGGCCTTTGGCCACCAACCAATCCAAGCACCTCCAATCAATGTGTCATGTCCAATTTGCTGGAATGTGACTAGGGTTGGGTCGCTGGGCTAAAAGGTCTTATTGGTTTGAGGTTTTTTGATTAAATTGCCGCTTATCATTTCCCCTGTTGGCTATTTCCATTGCAGTCAAGCCGTACATCATCCGGGGGCCTCACGATCAAACGGTTTTGGAGGGAGCCTCGGTGACCTTTCCCTGTCGAGTGGGTGGTGACCCCATGCCGGATGTTCTGTGGCTGAGGACTGCCTCGGGCGGTAATATGCCATTGGGTGAGTTAATCTATTCCATCATCATTTAAAATAATATTAATATTTTTTTTGCTTAAATATATTTGTTAAAGATCGCGTGAGTGTCCTGGAGGATCGAAGTCTAAGACTAGAAAGGGTCACCATTGCCGATGAGGGTGAATACAGCTGTGAGGCGGACAATGTTGTGGGAGCCATTACTGCTATGGGCACCCTAACTGTTTACGGTAAGTTACTTTTGGGTAAATCCTATATCCAGATAATAGACAATCGCTAGTTGAGCACTTTTAGCTAATTAGTCTACCCATGCTCCTCCACCCCGCACACTCACACTGTAGCCCCCCCGAAATTCATCCAACGCCCTGCGAGCAAATCCGTGGAACTGGGCGCCGATACATCCTTCGAATGCCGAGCCACTGGCAATCCAAAGCCAACCATCTTTTGGACCATCAAAAATAACAGTACACTGATATTTCCCGGAGCACCGCCCTTGGATCGATTTCACAGTCTGAACACCGAAGAAGGTCACTCTATTCTCACTCTGACCAGATTTCAAAGAACGGACAAGGATCTGGTCATACTGTGTAATGCTATGAATGAAGTGGCCAGCATTACATCAAGGGTTCAACTCAGTTTGGACTCGCAAGAAGATCGTCCACCGCCGATTATAATATCGGGTCCGGTAAATCAAACGCTGCCCATCAAATCGCTGGCCACACTTCAGTGCAAGGCTATAGGTCTGCCGAGTCCTACGATATCATGGTATCGCGATGGAATACCAGTGCAGCCCAGTTCCAAGTTGAATATCACAACATCTGGGGATTTGATCATATCAGACCTCGATCGTCAACAGGATCAGGGTTTGTACACATGTGTGGCCAGCTCAAGAGCTGGTAAATCTACTTGGAGTGGCTTTCTCAGAATAGAGTTGCCCACCAACCCGAATATAAAGTTCTACAGAGCCCCCGAGCAGAATAAATGTCCCACTGCTCCGGGACAACCGAAAGTTCTGAATGCGACCGCCTCGGCCTTGACAATTGTTTGGCCCACTAGTGATAAGGCAGGAGCTTCTTCATTCCTTGGCTATAGTGTGGAAATGTATTGCACAAATCAGAGCAAAACCTGGATACCCATAGCATCGCGATTAAGTGAACCGATTTTCACGGTGGAAAGTTTAACCCATGGAGCAGCTTACATGTTCATAGTTCGGGCGGAAAACTCTTTGGGCTTCTCACCACCCTCACCCATTTCGGAACCCATAACGGCGGGAAAACTCGTGGGTGTGAGAGATGGTAGTGAAAATTCTGGAACCTCACAACTACTTCTCAGCGATGTGGAAACCCTGCTGCAGGCCAACGATGTGGTGGAGTTACTGGAGGCAAATGCCAGTGACTCGACGACTGCTCGACTTTCTTGGGACATAGACAGTGGGCAGTACATCGAGGGTTTCTATCTTTACGCCCGAGAACTCCACTCCACCGAATACAAAATGGTTACACTGCTCAACAAGGGTCAGGGACTCAGTTCCTGTACGGTGCCTGGATTGGCAAAAGCGTCTACATACGAGTTTTTTCTTGTGCCATTTTACAAGAGCATCGTAGGAAAGCCCTCAAATTCGCGACGCATGAGAACCCTGGAAGATGGTAAGGTTCTAGTTTTACCATCCATCCATGATTAAAAATATGTTTTTTATTAAATTATTAAAATAATGTTAGTTTTAATTGTTCACTGTTATAAAATTGACTTAAATTTTATTCACAGTTCCGGAGGCACCACCCTATGGCATGGAAGCCATCCAATTTAATCGCACCTCGGTCTTTTTGAAATGGTTACCACCGCAACCAAATCGGACTCGCAATGGTTAGTATTAAGTAATCTACTTAAATGATTAAAAATGTCTTGACTAGAAGCCCTTTATAAGTTTTTTTTAATAAGTTTTTAAAGTCTTATAAGCGTTTGTAGATGTTCGTCCTGATAGACAGACCCTTTCCGTATAAAATCCCTAGAGCTTTCCGATTCCCTCATAAGTTAACCGCCAGTCAGGTCCTTTGTGCAAATACCTTTGCTAGGATGACTCGTTTCGGATGAGTTCTCAGCTCTTTTGTTTACATTTAATTTCATTTTCTCTCTGTCCAACCGCCCCAAAAATCTCCAATGAACAGGCATCCTCACCAGCTACAATGTGGTCGTCAAAGGCCTGGACGTGCACAATACGACGCGGATATTCAAAAATATGACCATAGATGCGGCCACGCCCACCCTCCTCTTGGCCAACCTCACCACGGGAGTCACCTACTACATCGCAGTGGCGGCGGCCACAAGGGTGGGAGTCGGACCCTTCAGCAAGCCGGCCGTCCTCCGCATCGATGCACGCACCCAATCCCTGGACACCGGCTATACGAGGTGAGTGGGGTGCACTGGGAGAAAAAAACATTACATAAGTACTGAAAAAATTATATTTAATATAAAATACATTTTTATGTTAAAGCGTATATTTTTTTAAGCAGAAGTAATATATAATAATATTAATAAGAAATATTTTTTTACTTCTCTATTATATTCCTATTTATAACATCATTACATATTTTTTTGTTGAGAAGTACAGCCTTACCTTCTTAGCTTTCTTCATTTGAATTTCATGAAATAATCACAACAATAATGATACAATATAAATGATTGCATAATTAATATATTTTTCAAATTGTATTTTCATTTAATATCCGTTTTGAGACATCAGTTTTTTTATGGTTACAAATTATTTATTATCCAATTTTTATTTTGTGAAAATTCTTTTTCATACATATTTCAATAAGGGTTATAGATAATATGCCTTTAAAATCAATTTTATTATTTTTTGAACTCATTTTAATTAAATTCTTATTTTTGCCATAGAAAATTATTTTTTACCCAAACTTTCGTTAAGTGTAACTCCTTTTTGTGTGGGCGTTGTGGGTGTCGGGCATTGTGGAGCTGCTCATTTGACTGCCAAGTGTCGCATCGAGGTCCACATCAATCCATTAACGGCCAACGACAATGGCCAACGACTTTTGCGACCATTAAACTAAGCCTCCGCCCGGGCACGTACAAATACAAATACAAATAGAGGGCTCCATCCTCCGATAGCCGTTCTCATTCCGGGTTCTTTATTGTGTTGTCTATTGCAGATATCCCATCAGTCGTGATATTGCCGATGACTTTTTAACACAGACCTGGTTTATCGTCCTGCTGGGCTCCATCATTGCCATAATTGTGTTTCTATTGGGCGCATTGGTTCTATTCAAGCGCTATCAATTTATCAAGCAGACCTCGCTGGGCAGTTTACATGGTGAGTGAACTTTAATTTAAATTTATACTTATTCTCCCTTTTGTGCAGTTCTTTTTTATTTGGGGAGGGAGCTTGGTAATTGCTTGTTCTTTTTTGTGTAAGGATTTATGGGTGAATTGAAGTTTAATTTAGTCAAGGAATAGGGGATGTTGGGGATAATGCTTACAGTATTTAAGGTTTTTGGAGCTTAAATACTGTGTAAATTGCACAATGGAAAAAATATTTATTAGTAATTGGGGAAATTCTATTTTGATAGGTATAAAAACTAATGCCTTAGAACAAAAAATGTAAGTATCAAGTGCATCCAAATAAATACAACCATCTTCATTCCGAATTTATTTCCCTGCATTTTACCCTAGTGCCACTTCATCTAGAGGTACACCCCTCATTTTTATAGGACAATCTCCTTTCCACTCTGGGACATGCGAACATTTTGCTCAAGCTCCTCCTCTACGTAATCTTTGATTTATGACTTGAGCATTTATGGCCGGTCTCAATTAGGTTGCCATTTTGTAAGCCACAATAACTGCAGACATCGAGACACGCACTCATAACATTGTAAAGACCGGAGGAACCAAAAAAACCGAGGGTAATAATCTTTGGCAGTAAGCCACAGCGCCAAGGTTAAACCGACTATAAAAAGATAAACAAGCGACGATAACTAGAGCAAAAGTGGGGGAGTCTTTAGGGTAGAAAAAGAACCCTAAAGAAAATGCGGTGGTGTATTTTATAAGAACGACAAAACCTCACGTGAAAATCACATCAATTGTCTGACTGGAGAACTCTAAATATAGTTAGAAAACATAAAATTTTAGCAGGATGTAGTGAGCTATAAATACCCTATAAAGTTTGGCAGGTGACTTTATTAGTAATAGTAGTAAGAATTGTAGAAGTGAAAATTTAAAAATCAGCTGATTGAGGTGTAAAATAACTAAGTACTTACACAAAAAAAGATTTAGATTATAAGAAATGTAATATATCAATTCAGATTTACTTATAGACTTAGGGAAATACTAAAGTATAATCTTACGGGCAGAGTTTCGGACAGATTATGGAGATTCATACAGAATAATACAATAAACAAGTACATAGACTGACGGCTATCAGGCCATAGATCCTTTCTAAAACCAAATGTTTACTTACTCGTCCAACCCATCTACTTTAACAACTGCAGGGCATTTACAAAACCGTTGGAAAGGGGCGTGCAAAAGCTTTTGCCAATTGAATATAAAAAGTAATTTCCGTCTTTTATTATTTGCACGTTACTGCGAAAGCAAACCGAGCGCAAAAACCCCGGGCGGCGAGTTCTCCGTTTTAGTTTTAACGAGCCGTAATCATTGCCAGCCCACACATAGAAGCCATTTCGATATATTCAGTCTCCTGTAAACCCATATATATTTTGCTTTTTATTTCAGGCAATCACGCAATCGGAACCGTGCGAAAGTTTCCGACATTGCCGCTAAATGGAGGCGGAGCCGTCGGTGCCGTTGGCTCAAATTCGACAGCCACAACTGGGCAAAATGGCCTGTGGATCGATCCCACCGGCGGCGTTTGGCGACAGGGTGCGGGAAATGGCAATGGGAATCCGGGTGGAGCGGGGGCAAACGGCTCATGTACGACAAAGGAGCAACTTCCGGGATACGCACAGGCCACCGCCCAGCAGGGACAACAGCCGACGCTACTGCCCGATTACGAGAGGTGAGTTCTAGGGCTGTTTATCTGCTCAGGAAGTTGCCTTAATATCCTGTCCACGCCTCGCTGACTGTTTAATTACAATAAAAAATTGGCGAGCAGAAGGCTTAAATTGGTAAAGGTTGAAAGTTGGTGTAGGAAGTAAGGAACTTACACTCGGAAAACAGGAACTAAAAATGGATTAAAACGTAAATGGGTTTGAAATCTTTAAAAAATATACCTAAAAGTATGCAATGGATAATTGCAAAATAGGGAAATTTTATTTTTCATAGCATACTTTTAGATACCTTATAAGGATTTACAAAACCTAAGCATAAAAATCTATTATTTTTATAGATAGAAAATGTTTAATTATGTATCTTTTATTATTTAAAGTCTAAAAAAATGTATTTTGTTTTAACAAACAATGGATAAATGCCAAAGAACGAAATTAAATTTTTGTTAGCATACTTTAAGGTATCTAGTAAGGGTTTTCAAAACCTAAGCATAAAAACCTATTTTTTAAATAAATTAAATTAAAATTTTTATAATTTATCTCTTATTATTTAATGCATAAATTATTTTGTTTTTACTTCCGAAGCGTTTATTTGATATATGAAGGGATATTTTCTGATTTCTGCACTGATAAAATTTGTTTTCGTGTAATAACGTAAGGACTACTCTTGGTGCAAGTAAAAGATCCATGGCACTATTTACGAGCCGAGTCGTAAAAAATATTTTGTGGAGCTGCAACCGCTGCCTCCATAAAGATTCCCCAACCAAAACCGGGCCACCCTCAAAGTGGAAAGCCCTGAACCCTCTTCTCCAGCCAAAAACCACCGCAACAACAACAAACGCCATTAAATTGTTACACTTGAACGGGTTTTACTTTGGGCCATGGTAACTTGCCCCAACCACGAAATAAATGTTTACGTTGGCAGGAAGGAGCACTGCAGCCGTTATTTAATTTCCATATACGCAATTCATTCATATTTCCTCGGGTTGTTTTATCTCCCTGTTTTCTTTGGGAGCTCCTGTATTTTTGTTGGCGTTTCCTTTAAAGGCTAATGAATTTTCCTTTGGGGGAAATGCATTTCAGATGGACGGGTTTTTAATCTTCTTTAATTTGGGTTAAAAGCAAAGATGAATGAAATAATACCTTTCCTGAACACATTTTTACATTAAATTGATAATCTCTTAATCTTTTAAGAATATTTTCGGGATCAGATTTGTGTATCTAAGCTACTTGTCAGCTCTAATCAACAACTAACACCCAAGCTTGTTTACTTCGAAATTTAGACCGCAAATTTGTCAATCTTTAACAACATCGAAGTGGATTAAACTGTCAGTAAATTCTGAGAAACTCTTAAACTTTTCAATCACAAAATAAAATTGCGACTTTCAGCTTAATAAATCTTTCCCAGTTAGTCAAATGGTTCTTGAAAATTCGGAGGAAAGTTTTGATGAAAACTCTCGCTTAATCGCTTTAATTCCATTGAGCCTAATCCCAGGGCCAAGCTGCCCATTTTTACTTGCCCATTTCAAGGACTTTGTTTTTACTTCTTACTTAGGAATTTATAAAGAAAAACAAATTTTCCTCGCTTTTCCTTAAAGCTTAATGTACCGTTGCGGCAACAATAATAAAACAAAAGCAGTAATGCAAAAAAAGAGGAAAAATAAAACAAAAATCCAAACAAGAGGCAATAAAAAAGTGGCAACTGCTGGCGACATATTTCTGTCCTGCTTTCTTTACACCTGTCTCACTCTTTCAAGGCGAAAAACTTTCGCGTATTTATTTGCGGCATTTTACGCATTTATTTGTTTAGACTTCCTTTCTGCGTTCTAAGAATGAAATAACCGCCCACCTTTAACCCTCACCACTCGCTTTCCACTTCACTTGCTATTTGGAACATTTCCCGCCACCCTCGCATGCCGAATAAACCCCCTCCCCCCGGGAAAATTCACCACCCCTCTAATACCGTTGCCACTTCCGTTACGCGATTTTCATTATTTCCGTTTCAATTTTTCCGTTGTATTCCTTCGAACCGAACTTTTCCTTCTGCTGCTCACTTTTAACAACATTGTAAAGTCGTAAAAAGTATAACATAAGCACTGGAATACCCAAACCGGATCTTCTTTTATTCTCCTTGTTTACATAAACACTCCCACCCCCCAAAATTCCCTGTTGAAACACGTGCGTCATTACCTAAAATTTCCAATTAAAATATTTAATTTCTTTCGCGGGTTGTTGTCTGATTCGAGGAGTTCTTAACAACCACCCCCATGGAAAAACACAATTTTCACCGCTAAATTAACAATTAAAAATTGATAGTCCTCGGGAGAAGAAACGCAAACTCTCCAGATCTGCATATTTTCATATTCCCCCAGTGTCCTTAAGGCCACAGCTTAATAGCTGGAAAAAATTCAGATTACTTGGCATATTCTCGGACGTCTAACGGAATGTGTTTTTTAATTGGGTCAACGGAACTGGTTTAAACGATATGGGACTTGGACTTAATAGAGAAATTAAATCTTTAAAAAAATAAGTTTATGTTTTTCCATCTCTGATAAAAACTGATGAAATGATCTGCCTGTATCTTGCTTAAAAAAACTTAAAAAAATAGAAGTATATCATATTTTATCAGGAAACACATGTCCAATTAAAAACCAACAGCAATTTTAAACACTGAATTTTAATCTTTGCTTTGGCAATTTTATTCCTCCTCTCTGGTTAGTTTCTAAACTATTCAAACCACCATGAAATTGCCGAAACTATTCGCATTTTCCAGCGCCCACACTCCACGCACCACAAACATTTCCGTAAATTTTTACGAGAACTCATTGGGAAAAAGCGAAGCGATAGATAAGCATTATCTCATTAGCTAATTAGTGCGCAAAAATTTGTGCAATAAAAAAGTTTTTCTTGCTGCTTTTCCTCCGTCTCGGGGAACGTTAATTTTTTGTGTTCCTGCCAACACATGGATAAAAGTTTGATTTGAATGGTAGTCAAGCTTTTTTCCCATCCCTCTCAGTTTTTAGAACCTTCTCCTACTTTTCCTACTTTTACTCCATTTTATTTCCAATCCTCACCAGGAATTCTACTCACTCTAATTACAAAGTTGAAATGCTAATGGGGAGAAATTTCGTATTGTATTTGCTATATTTAAGCAAATTGCAATTGCTACGGTTGAGGAAATTATGGGGGCATACAAAGGGAAATTGCAACAAAATTTTTAATGACTAGGTGTGAGATGGGAACAATTTCCGGAGTTGCATTCAGTGCCTAACAAAAGCAATTTCCTCCCATCAACAACATCGAATGATTTATGGAATCGCTGATGTGAGTACCAGACAAGCATAAATCCACAGAAAATTATTCACACTGCTCAAAAAAAGTGGTCTTGAATAAAAAAAATTATAAAATATATATTCAAAAGAAGATCATTGATAAAAACATACTACATAGTATAATATAATTCACCTTTTGCTGTTTAAACATCAATCAAAATATGTGTATATGGCCAAAAAAAAAGCTTCTACTTGAATTTCAAGGCTAAAAATATTTTTTCTATAAATTAATATATTTTTGCAAGCCAAAAAAAATATTTTTTAAATAAAGTAAGTTTACTTAATCAAAGGTATATTTTTCTAAGTTAAGAAAAAGGAACTGAATATTTTTTGGGTGCACTGATGAACACATATTTATTGAGTATTCCTTTATCAACTCATATTTCGGTACAGAATCAATTTTCAACTGGCGAATTTTCCCCTTTCTCTCTAATTTCAGACTGTCGCCGCTGAATATGCCCGATTATGCGGAAGTCGCCTGCTCCACATTCAAGAGTCCCACCCGCGGAGCACCACCTGGCATGGGTGGCCAGTCGGCCTCCCTGTACGATAGCTGCGGGGCCTATGCCACCACCAATGTGGTGGCCAATGTGAAGCTCTACCAGAATCGCTATGCGACAAAACCGAACCAGAATAGCGCCAGCAATAACAACAATCTACAGGGCGGTGATTACCAATCGACTGGGATGTATTCCGCACCACCGAGTGCCCACTATGGATGCCTGGAGCCCAAGCAGCAACAACAGCAGCCAAATCTGATGACAACCTCGACGGCAAGTACGGCCATTTTGACAGCCTCGCCGGCCAAGGTGAAAAAGATCAATATAACCGAGAATCAAATGGATCAATTGGATGGCAAATCGGAGCGTACGAATCCGTTTAATCAACAGCAGCAGTTACTCTTGGCCAGTAATGCCTTGAAACAGGGTCTGGGCGCCTATGCCAATACCACTTTGGCGGCCCAAATGGCCAGTGGTGGTGGGGCAGGAACCCTGAGGCGCCAGCGACAGCCCAAAACGCTTTACAAAAGCGAGAATAATATATTGGGAAAATCGAATCTGAGGCAGAGTAATATGAATACGAATGCTAATACAAATGGTTCTAGCAATGGACCCATGGACTTTCTAACCGGAGGTCCGCCATCGGAGGGCGGAGATTTCTCTGGTTTGGGTCTCTGCAATTCCACCAATCAACTGCTCAACGATTGGGCTTCCAGTGCCTCGATCGCAGCTCCCGGGGATTATCATTTTGGCAGCAAACAACCCAGCAAACAACATCTCTATGTGAAGGCCAAGGATGGCACTTGGTCAGCGGTCAGTTCGGATGCCTATCAATCCTTCAAGCACCAGCAACAACATCATCCATTCCTGGCCGGAGGATCAGGTGACAACAACAAGTCCTTAGCTAGTGTAAACAGCTTAGCTGGCGATAGCAAATTCCTCAGTAGTTTTGGTTCTAGCGCCAATGTCTAAGCCCTAGCTTAGAAATCAACTTAAAAGCTTGGGTCAATCGAAAAGTGCTCAATAAGTTAGAGGATTCCCGAAAGGATTGTATTATGGTAATAAGTGGAAGGCATATATCAGTTGGCAGGTGGAAGTTGGGTTGTGGAACGTTGTGAGGGTTGGTGGGGGATGAAAGTCTTTCAAACTTTGCTATTTTACTCACTTGTAATTTCAATATTATTAAATTCCACGATCTATATATCCCATTGATCAGAAAACATAAACGGTAGACCCTTTCACTTATCTCCTTAAAAACCAACCCATAGCTCTATTAGACTTCCACCTACCAAAAGAAAATCCCCAAACCGAAAAACAACAACGAAATGTGTGTAAAGAAATACAAAAAACCCCCGAAAGATTGGCTTGTAAATAAATTTTCCCTAACTATATCCTATATATAAAACCGTAACCCCGTAAAGCATTTAGATTATTGCATTTGGAGCAAGCAAAAAAAAATATATTATTAATTTTCTCAAGAAACCAGAAACCATCTCAAAATAGCACAGAAGTAGTTCAAGTAAGTACAGCAAGAGAAATCTTTAAAAGTTAGTAGCAAAACCTTTCGAAGTTTTGCAGAAAGTGTTCCCACAGATAAGAAAACCAAATGTTAAAGCCAAAACGAGAATACCCAACCCTAACGAGAAAATATTACTTAGAGTTATATAAACAAAGCACGATGCAATTAGTTGTGTGTTGGTAAAATTATAAAAAACTCACCTCCCGCAAGAAAAGCTAAGTAAATGCTAATAATAAGGCTGTTAAATGTAAAATATCATAAATGATTGAGGAATGAATGACTAAATCTACATTTAAACCATGTAATTAAAGCATTAAAATGTAATTAACTGACACTAGATTTAGTTTGAATAGCTAAAACCGGGAAACCGCAAAGAGAGAAAAGCGAAAGTGGAAGGATTACAGCAAATATGGGGATTTAGCTGGAAAAAAAGAGAAGATAAAATAAACTAATCAATTAATTGATAAATTATGCAATGAGAAAAACTAAAAATAAAGATTAAAAATATGAAAAACAACCAATATCTGGCTATTTACAGAGCGTTTCGTAATGTTAAGGCAACATTTCTTATAGTTACGAAACGCCCTAGCTGGCGTTTATTTATTTCGAGGGGGACAAATACATATATATTAAATAACTTAATTTTCTTATGCGTTTTGTTTAGTTTTTTCACTTATTTTAGATGGTACATATACATATTTTTGTGCTGTCTAAAAAGTAGGCTTATAGTTCTAGTAGAGCAATCTATATAACCCCTGCTAAATGTTTTACCCATTCCCAAATTATAGTTATGAATCGTACTCTACTTAGCCGCACAGCGAAATTTTTGTGGGCAAATCCCGCTCTAATGTGTGCGAAAATTTTCCATTTTCAGCGAGGACTATTTGGCGTCGACACAGTTGTGCCTACATGGTTCTGGACAATTCGATGGATTTTGTGATTTGAATTCATTTGCTGGTCGTGGGTGGAAATTTCAGGTAAACCCAACTATGCTGCGGCCTACCCACAAAACTTCCGACTGATTCCCGGGCAGAGGGCGAATTTCCATCGCTGACTAGCTAATTAATTATGCACTTTGTCCGCCCGCCCCAAATCCCAATTTGTCCTACAAAATCATTAATGTAGGGATCCCTAATGAGACATTGTCCATTTTTCCCCCGGAACCTCTGCATTTACCATCCGTTAACTATAAAACATTTGCAATTGCAAATTCATGATAAACAAAATTATTTCAGTTTCCTGGCCCGTTTTGTTTATTATTGATTTTTTGTTGTTCGTTTTTGGATTGCTAGCCATTGTTACAAATTGTTATTGACAGTTTATATATGTCTGGTTTGGTTGTCCAAACTCAGGCTCTTTGAAATTGCAACCAAACTATGCATTAAACAAATAATACAAAAAATGTTTGCATGGAGAGAAGTCAAATGAAATGAAAATCAATTCGATTAAATGAAGCGTAATAACACTGAACTTTTTATTTTAATATTTAGTTTCATAAGATAGCTGGAATTATTTTTAAATAAATGCATTTTAAGCAGTAATAAGAGGCAGATATTGAATAAAGCTGTCAATAAGCATTAAAACTAACTATGATTTCAATTACGGTAGTAAAAATATGAGTGAATTTAATTTATTTATTTGTGGAGAATTTATTATGAGAGGGGTTGTGATTTAAGTAAGTATTTAAATGGAAAGTTTATTTTACTTTATATTTTTATGGGATTTTTTCTTTTTCCTTACGAACCTTAAATTTTTAGTTGGTGGAAAACTATAGACTATTCGCCAAATAAGCCCATTTAAAATCCCCCAATTTGATTCCTATTTTCCTGGCAAATTGGGATCTTTAACTGCACTAGCAGCTTATTACCCTTGGCTGAACTTTAAGCTTTTGCCGCTCGAGCAACACCAGCTGCAGTGAATGCCCAGGCTAATGTATCAGTGACCAGGCCCACACCATTAGCTTCGACACCCCCGAATGAATGCCCACTGATATACCACCCCGACTTCCCCATGGTATCCCCAAACTGGAACTACAAATAGCCTTAGTGTCCGAAACACTCGCTACCGATAGCCACTGGCCGGGCCGATAAATAAGCCCAAATTTATCATGAACATGGAGCACACACAGGGATAGAAGAAGGTCTCGGGACTGTCCCATATATCGTGGGACTATAATAGCATTGGCAGCCTCATAATTTTTGGCACCAAATTGCCCGATAGGCGTTGAAGCGTTCAATTGAATGCCGTCTAGCCGAAGACCTTTTCCTTGTCCATGGCCATGTCCATCCACGCCCACTGCCACCCAACAACTATTGTATAATCAAAACTAATGGTCTATAAAGAATCAATTCGCAATTTGTTTAGCCAGCTGCTGCCCGATTCGAGCCGAGGACACGAGCAAACAGGACAATGAAACAGGATAATGCTGCAAAACGCTCTCTCCCATTTCGCTTCAACTGAAAAGTTTCCATTTCCCTTCGATTTCCCCCGATTTTCCCCCGCTTTTCCAGCCCTTTGTGCGTGTAACACATGTGACAAATAAAATTTAAATGCATTTTGTAAATAATTTTATATTGAAACTTGTTATTGTTTCGGGTCGGTATCAATATGTGTGGGCTTACAGTAAGTATCATAACTTTAGGTAGGGTGTGCTATTCATGTGATTACAGGATTTAAATGGTTGGAGATATTGAACTATATTTTAAAGCTGTTGGTCTGTAAATACACTCTAGAAATACATAGTGACATATTGAATTATTTATTAAATTTCATTGCACATATCCCACCATTTGCCATGTTTTTAGGTCGAATTTCCGCAAGAACCCACTGTGAGTGAGTACAAATAGCTGCCTTATTAGGGATATTTGCACAAAATTAGTTTTCCCAAAATTGATGCATCGTAAAAACATTGCAGCTGCGATGTGGGGACTGGAATTTTTGATTTGACTGTATTTAGGCAGTCGAGTGTGTAGGAAGTTGATGGGGGCTAAAGTGGGTGTGGCAGGACGAAGCACTGATTCAGCAAATTTGCCATAAAGTTTAATCAGCAGCTTTTGGCAGCATCGCAAAAAAAGCTCGTAAAAGACCAAAGACACACTCACATGCGGGGGACAAAGTTTTATGCGCATTTGAGTGACCATAAAAATGCTCCATGGTCTCCACTGAAGTGTCCTGCTAGTCCTGCGAAGAACAAGGATAACGCACAACAAAGATGAGGGAAAATCCTACGGAAGCCTGGTAGAAGGAGACCATTCTTTTTCCAATGCTTTTCGATAAGGAAATTATGCCCAGGCAATTTGATGAGATTAGCCAAGAGCATTTGGTGGTCGCAGATAGGAAAATGTAGGAAGAAGTTTATTTAATCCAAGAATAGAGGAATTTCAATTCACTATTTTGAGAAAAGAACCTACAATCTATATGTAAAATAAATAAAATCCTTTTGTCTTTAAACATTTTTATTTACATTCCTGGCTGAAAATCAAAGCTCCCAAATGAACGCCCGACAAGTCACGTCTAAATGGTTAGCATGGTTTTTTTCTCTATAAAATAAGTGACCTTTGCTATTGTTTCCACCCAAAACACCTCCTAACTTTTTAGCACACAGCATGCAAAGCAAAGAAATTTGGGAAATTGCCTTTCGTTGCCTGTGCAAAACCAATTTCATTTAGACTCCCCAATGGATGAAAACAAGAGCAAAAATTTAAGTGCTGCAGACAGAGAATCGAAATACAAAATATTTTCAGGAATTTTAGGGAAGAGAATAAAAAATGCTGCCAAATCTAGTGGGGAATTTTCGTATATTTGTAAGGCCAGAACAAACATTTTAATTTGTCCATTATGTTATTTTTGATTTTTCGGCTTTTTCTTTGGCATTTCTCCCCGTACAGCTTAATTGAAAATGGTCTGTTCGTCTGGGTTAGGGAAATGTTAAAAGAAGAGGGGAACCCTCAAGGGTTGATTACACATTTCTCGTCCACTTTCTCCCCAGAAGTTGAGTCCTCCGAAACATACACACACACTAATTAAATGCCCCCAACAGAAAGTTTTTGGCTACTAAATGAAATGCTGGCCGTGGTTTCGGCTTTAAATGGCTAAACTTACATGTCGAGTTAGTCAAAAAGTTTAATTTGCCCTTCCCCGTTGACCGTTACAACTTGTACGTCTTGTTCTTCTGCACTTTTGCCCTTGGTGAGTAATTAGTAAAACGCATTAAAATAAATTAGCTTGAGGAGCCGAAGGACCGGACAAACGGAAGCCATCCGGAGTAAAGTTACCTGTTTTGAGTGGCTGCTCTGGGACTTTAGTTTGGCTGCAAATATTACATTTAATTATGATGTATTTTGTTGAAGAGTCTTAGTAGAGCATTTAATAATTCAAGAAGATATGTGCTGGGGCTGGTAAATCCTTGAGTTTTATTGGGTTAATTAAATCCCAACAAATTCAGAAAAATAACTAAAGCATTTGCTGCATATAGTTTAGTTGCAGATGTTATATTTTAAATGCAAGAAAATGTGTATTAAGGCTGTTAAATTTTGAAAATAATTGGTTTTATTAAATTCTAAAATGTGTAGCAAACGTTTAAAAAAAAAATAATACATTTTCTGCCAGCCATTATCATCGTACATATCAAATAACATATTAATTTATAGAAGAGTCCTGTTAGAATATTTTATTATTCAAGAAGAGATGTCTTAACAGCCTTAATTCTTAACTCTTGAACCTCTTTGGCTTAATTAAATTCCAAAATGTGTGACAAAGAAGCCAGTAAAATAAATTATGGGAATTGCCTACATTTATCTTCAGGTACACATTTTATGACACTTCCTTGTGCAACTCGTTTATTCAATCAACACATTACGTTCCATCCGACTAAAGGATAGAAAAATGTCCTCCTCGTAGACCAAAAAGACATGACAACCTGGACATTTTGAGAGAAAAACGGAGAAGGCACAAAGTACAGACAAAGCGCGAGACATTTCAACAGGCCATAAAATACATTTTGGACGCCTTTTGTGAGTCCTTTGCCGCGGGCCTTTGGCGTTGTAATTTCTTGAATGTGTCAGACGTCGCCGTCCTCCAACGCTGTCATCCTCTTCAGCTCCTGTCTTCCCATTCCACGTCTATTCTAATTGCGAAATATGGCGACAATTTCAAAGAAGTTAAGGACATTGACGCCCCTTAGACGCGCTGCCAGAGGATAATACAATTTCGAATGACATTTTCGGAGCAGAGCTGTAATAAATATCCAGGGGATCCGGGGAAAGCAGGGGTCACCACCCCACTTAAGCTGAACAGAACTCGCTCGTTATGTAATGGATACTTAGTGGCCGTAAAGAAGGAGAGCTCCCAGCACAAAAATGCAAACAAAACTATTAAACGAGGTTAAAAAAAAGGAAGAAGACTGTTCGACCATAAGATACCCAT